CACACACACAGACACACACGCAGATCTCAGGCCATGCCCACACATCAGGCTGGTGAGGGGTAGGAGGAGGAGAGGAGAAAATGAAAGAGGACAGGAATGTGTTCTTCCACTTAACGGAGCCCACTGTGACTGACTGTGATGTAAATAAATCAAGGACAATCAACCCGTCTGGCTCCGCTGCTCTGGTCTGCAGTGGGACAGGACCTGTGAATCTCTTCCCTTGAATACTCTTCCTTGCTGTATCATAACCAGAGAGAACAAGGGAGGGAGGGAGAGACAAAAAGAGGGATGGAGAGAGTCAGTCAGTCACATAGATAAACAGACTGTTACAGAGAACCAAAGAGTCCAAGTATTACTATAACTAATTAAGTTATTACAGTGTAAAGGCGAGAAAACAGTGGCAGAAAGTTACAGACTGACAAAGGAAGGAAGAAAGTCCTTATCTATTCTACCGTACGCTATGTTTACACAGAGCTCATGGGGTTAAGTCATATTTTTAAAAATGACGAACGTATTCCTTGTACACTTATGAGGACTGATCATTTGTTTGCATGCGGGTGCGCCTGTGTGTGTGCGTGTGTGTGTGTGTGTGTGTGTGTGTGTGTGTTTGGGGGGGTGTTCGTGTGACTGAGTGGTTACATGCTGTGTTTGCCGTAAGCGAGAGCGATTGTGTGCGCACGCATGTGCTTGGGGGGGGGGGGGGGGGGGATTTTACCTTTTTAAGATCTGTTGTATATCAGACAAACCTCCTGAGGGCTTTAGCAGGTTAAAATAAGGTTTACTGTATATGCTTCCATGCTTACTTCTTACAAGCAATGCTGTTGTTTATCTTTCCGTTTGTTGTTGTTGTCCCTTGCTGTTTGTTTGTTTGTTTGTTGTTGCATGGAAGCTTGTGGACCTCTGCTCAGTAGCAGCATGCCGAAGGTCCTTTTTTTCTGGTCTTACGTGTTCCTGACCAAAAGAGAACACTAGTGAGCTAATAGTGTAATACCAGAACACTAGTGAACCAACGTGAGGGTGTCGGAACACTACTGGACCAATAGTATTGCACCAGAACGTGAATGGACCAATGGTGTTGGACCAGAAGCAGAACCAGTTTAACCAATGGGAGCACAGATTAACTTAATATTTTGGTTCCTGCTGTGGACAAACTAGAAATGCACTAAATAAACTCTTTCTAAAGAAGTTAAAAGACTGTCTTGTCTTATTTTGTTGATTATTTCACCTCAGTTGATGTTATATCAAAATGCTTTGGTTCTAATGTTAGATTAATACTCTGCTCAGGTTTAACGTGTCAGTTCACAGCTCATTTCAGAGGTATGCAGATAGTTCTGGTTTTATTTGTGCAGGTTTTGTGATTTCCACCTCTGAAATTTCTTTCAGAAGATTTCTTTCAGGAGTTTTTGTGAAGAAATAGTCCCTGTCATTTGCTGGTGACTTCTGCGGGTTACCCAGAGGAATGGAGGAATTTGTTTTAGATAGAGATGTTGTTGCTGATTTTTTAAAATGTTTTCTTTTTGTTTTTGCTGCGCACCATAGCTGAGATTGCATTCACCTCCATTTTATCCTGTATGGTGGAGGTGAATGCAATCTCAGTGGAATACAATTTAAAATACGCACGTACCGCAAGTAAGTAAGAAAAAATGGGCTTTTTGTTTGTTTTTATTTCTGTGAACTGATGCTTTAATTTTTGAAATATGTTTCTGTTTCAATTCACACAGAGCAATGCAGCAGAACCTTTCACATTTGTTATGGTTATTCACTAAGTTCTAAGCAGGTTTTGAGTATATAAAGTGTAAGTATAAAAAAAAACATGTTTGTGTGTTGTCTCCCATAATACAAGTGGAGGAGCTGCTCACGCCTGGAAATAAATGAGTGAATAAAACTAATTGTGGATGATAATGAGACAGCTCTTTAGGAAGTATTGCATCATTGTCAGTAAAGTATGTTGATTTCTTGTATACTAAACATTTGGATGCAGAAGTGTGGACCACTTGGTTAAACAAGTGCTACCGCCACTAGATGGCGCTTGTAGATCAGAGTTGGGATTCTGCTCTTCCTTAAAGTCAACTCAAGAAGTACCAAACTAAAACACAAAAATGCTTAACTAAAGAGACTTAAACATTTAAACAAAGAAGCAAAATTAAACAGTCCAGTAGACAAAGTTTCTTGATAAAGTATTCTTTTACTCACACGTGTGTGTGTGTTCATATCTCTGTGATGAACAGGGAAAGCAGACACAGGCATTTATCCCCAAATGACCCTGCTAAGTTGGGTGCTAAAGCTAATTTCCGAGACATTTGTGTTATCACAAAATACAACAAGATAAAGTGCAAAAGGCAAATATGAAAAAATACACGTATAATGGTTAAAAACCAATAGTTTCACATTGCAATAATAAACATTTACTCATTGGTTTCAGGAACAGTGTCATACTCAATATGCTTTCCTAATGGTTTAAATACACCTCACAAGATGTGGGATAGTTCTCTCACTAATAATGATAACTTAAGGTAATAATAATAATTTCTTTTTTACTTTAGTTTTTCATTTTACATCAGTATCCTGTAAAATGAGTAATAAAATTAGTGGGTGTCGGTAGAAAGTCTTGCCTGTGACTCTGAACTCACAGTGTTGATGAACCACACTCTCCCTTTGCTATAATACATTTCTATGAATTAATCACATTTTCACATACTGCAGCCCTGTGCAAATGTAAACACACATGCAAAACCACACAAACACATATGTTTCATGTTCATAGTGATCCACATTAATACTGTACTGGTACATCAGTCAAGTCTATCATATTTACAGCGGCTGAGACAGCACCACGCTGCCAGTACTTGCAAAGATTCCTCTTTTTATTTATAAGTAAGAGGGGAGATTGTATCAAGAGTCTGTCCTCTGTCCCCCTTTCTCCTCTCCATCTTCTTCCTCTTCATCATCTTCTTCTTCTCAGTGCCAGTTATCTCGCTCCTCTTCACCTGTTTCTTCTTTTACACATCCTCCTGTCACAGCTCAGTTTTTTTCTCGCTATGAATCATCTGTCGATCCCTCTAGGTCGCCTTCTTTGACTCCCACTCCTGGAGACCGTGAGACAGCACAGAGTGAGGAAAACATTTCTATTTGTCCTGGTCACACAAAGACACACACACACACACACACACACAAAGAACACCACATACACACACACACACACTCTACCTTTGCCTTCTGCATGACGTTTCCCTTGGAGGAGGCATAAAGAGACGGAGGCCGTTTACGAAGCTCAGATGCTGAGTTGACCGGCACAGTCTCATTGTAAACCTTTTCAACCTTGCTGCCCTGTGCCTGTACACACATAAACACACAGACAAACACACACAAACAAAAAATTTCCAGATTTCACCAATTTATAGATAATTGTTTAAATTTTGGGGAAAAAGTTTTATCAATTATGTTTACTTGAATTATTTCTAAGCCAGGGAGCAGTGACATCCTGGAAGTCTTGTCATCGGGTGTGCGGTTGGCCCAGGCAACAAAACAGTCTAAACTGTAAACCCACAACTTTTAAGCTTTGGTTTTGTACCGACCAAAACAAGATTAAAAATGTGTTAAGAAGTGAAGCTTTAGGGGTGCTGGTAGGCCAGATTTACTTTAGACAGAGCCACGCTAGCTGCTTCCAGTCATTATGCTATCTAATTTGGCTTGTTGTAAATTGGGTGTATAAGGCTTGCCTCAAGTAATTTTAAAATTCCTGTCATTAATGTCTCATGTCCTCTTAATGGTGTTGTTATTTGGGAAGAGGACCTGTGTTACTTATTGGATTAAAAAGAGGAACTGAAAATAAACCGTCCTAATCTGCAGTATTGGACATCGTTTATCTGAGTATGTTAGAAACAATTAGTCCCAATTAGAGCCAGTAGCGGCTAAAGTATAGGACATAGTCCAATTCCAAAAGAAGGCAAATATAAGCGTATAACCCCAAAATGTCCCAACTATTTCAAAGCAGTTAAATCTGAATGATACAATATAATGAGAGCTGGTAATTAAAATCCAGCGGACAGGACACAGGTATAGCCACAAAACAACACTTTCAAAAATCAGACATCTATTTAAAGAACAGGGCAAACATACAGTATTAAGGTAAATCTGTGTGTAAATCTGTATATGTATGTATAATTATATATAATTTCCTAAGAAAAATATTATATTCTAGAATTATATGGGAGAGCGTCTCTTCTGTTTGGCCTACCTTCACACTGATCTTGGTGTTCAGAGGGCGGACCCAGTGCCTCCTCTAGCCAGTGACTTCTTCAGGTTTTTCTTTGACTTCTGTCAATCTGAGCTCCAGCTCCACCCCTCTCCTCCTCTTTCTGTTTAA